CCTGCCAATAGGGTTCCCAGCTCTGAGTTGGGAAATACCTGGGGATTTGGGGGTGGAGCTTAGGGAGGGCAGGGGAGGGGCATCCGCAGGAGATATGTCTGCTAATGCTGCCATCGTTTGGAATGTGTGAGGTGCTCTTTGGGTTGCCTCCCTCCCATCCCCCTTGCCTCCTCTGCTGCGCTCTGTTATCTGCCTGGTGTGGGGGGTGGAGCTTAGGGAGGGCAGGGGAGGGGCATCCGCAGGAGATATGTCTGCTAATGCTGCCATCGTTTGGAATGTGTGAGGTGCTCTTTGGGTTGCCTCCCTCCCATCCCCCTTGCCTCCTCTGCTGCGCTCTGTTATCTGCCTGGTGTCCTTGAAGTCTTGGGTCTGCCAGGTCCGCATTTCCAGCTTGGAATGTAACTGCTGTCTTTTGCCCGCGTCTTCAGGTGCTTGTCTATTGGTCTTTGTCCTGGGACAAGACTCCCCCACCCCCAGAGATGGCCACACGCCCCGACTCACCCCGATGACAGCAGAGGAACAGGGAAGCAATGGCACCACAGCCCCCCCGGGAAGACGCGACGCAACAGCTCAATGCCCAGCTGCTCGGGCAGAAGGAGCAATGGCGGCAGGGCGCGGCCCTCACAGCTCCAGCGCCACCAAGAGAGAGCTGAGGCCAAACACGGCGGAACGCCCAGGCAGCAGCACCGGCGGCGTGGCCACCGGGTCAATAGGACCGCCATCGGCTCATCTGCGACCATGTCCCAAACGCCCGGGAAGCATCCGTGTCTATAAATGGGGGCGAGGCCAAATCGGGAGGAAGGGAGGTGGAGATGAGGGATGGCACTGGGAGTGGAGCGGGGGAAATAGAAGGGGGCTCTTGGGAGAGACCGGGGAGGAACGGCGTGTGAGGGAGCGAAACTGCGAAGGTAACAGCTAGAGAGAGAAGGAGCAGTATCCGCGCACGAGGCAGAGGGACTTGAGGGGTGCCGTTAACCCCGTCCCCTGCCCATCTGAGGTCTTTCCGCAGCTCCCTTTGGCGAACCACCTCCGAGTGCCAGGTGCCACGGCCACTGGTGGGTTTTCCTCAAGCCCTCAGGAGAAGCGTGTCACAGTCTTATTCTATCAGGGGGGGTCTGGTTTGAAGGGGGTATAAGGGCTAACCTTTAGCCCACCATTCCTGACACAAGACTTCATGATGTCCTGAGTACTAACTCTCAATAAACTGAAACTTCTGAAGGAACGTTGTTGAGTGCTTGACTGGGAACCCTGACAATATAATGTCATAGACGCCACCTTCCAAAGCAGCCATCTTCTCCAAACAACTGGCTTTTTGGGGGGGGGGGGGTTCCTTGGTACAGGGACCTTTCCAAGGCTTTCCCAAGGTTTTTTTTGTTGCCCTGGGCAAAATGGCATTCCAACAAACATAGCCTTTCCCTCTGGAGGTTACACTCCAGCTTTTGGCCAACCTCTCCTTCGTCTCCCCCCCCCCCCACAAAAATTCTAAGAAACTCACTCTAATAACCATCAGGACAAGTTTTGCTGGATCAACGTTGTGTTAAATACTGGGTTCCATGTATGGTCTGACCCCAAGCCTAGTGATCAGCTCTGCTTTAGTAGTGACTAGGAATAAGGCCCGTTGTGGAAATAAATACGAGTTCTAGAAAGAGGATCTGGGAGAGTGCCAACATCTGGGGCACTCAGTGTCAATGTACTGTGGCGACCTCAGCAGGGTATAATGACACAGAATCCATCATTTTCTCCAGAGGAACTGATCTCTGCTACCTGAAAAGCAGTTGTAATTTTGAGTAATATCCAGCCCTCACCTGGAGATTGGCAACAATTGTCACCCAGGAAGAAATAGCTGGTTTGGAGGGTGGAGTGTGGCATTATACCTCTCTGAGGTCCCACCACTCCTCAAACTTCACCCTCTCCAGGTTCCATCCCTCAAATTTCCAGGAATTTCCCACCTGGAGTTGGCAACCCTATCTCCTTTCCAGCCAGTCATCAACCTACCTTTATTTCCTCCTCTCTCTTCAGATTTCCATTTCCCCCCACATACAACTCCAGCCTCTTCCGTGCTCTGAAACCCTGACTACCACAGAGTCCACCATTTTTCATGCTCTGAAGCCCTGACTTCCACAGAGTCCACCATTTTCTCCAGGGGAACTGATCGCTGCCATCTGGAGAGCAGTTGTAATTCTGAGTGATCTCCAGCCCTCACCTGGAGATTGGTAACAATGGTTTCCCAGGAGGAAAAGACCAAAGCAGCTTACATCATTCTCTTCTCCCCCTTTTGACTTGCACAACAACCCTGTGAGGTAGGTTAGGCTGAAAGTCTGTGACTGGTCCAAAATCACCCACTCAGCTTCTACAGCAAGAACCTGGATCTAGCAGACCCTGCTCTGAAGCACTGACTGATACACCTAGGGCAGCCAACCTCCAGGTGGAGCCTGAAGATCACCAGATATCACAACTGAACTCCAGATCTCTCCCCCCCCCGGAGA